ACGTAGACATGCCTTGTAACCAATTTTTCAAATGCATGCATGGTTCCACACATACGTACTCTGGCTGGTCGTCCTCGTCGTCATCCTCCTCCTCGAAATTGTGTGTCAGCTCGTGACACCAAAGTTATACATGAGGAGGGGTACAGAGCAAAGTTGAACAAGCAGCAGCAGCAGCAGGTTTGCTTTTTCTTCTCTGTCGGAAGAAGGAGGATACATTTTTGCAAGCATATTCGCACTCACTCATGCGATCCCATCGGTTGGCGGAATGGTGCGATATTTTTAGAAGATGAGTGTGTGTCCATGGTGTGTCCGCTTGCCTGTCTCATGGTCTCTCGCACTTGAGAATTGAATGGTTATTGTTGAATAATTTGAGATTGAGCTCGAGCTGGTTTCAAAATGAGGGTATTTGCTCCACATATGTGTAAAGTTGTCCGTCCGTCCGATGATGATGATGATGGTGGCAAGCATGGCACATTCGCTTTCTATCTCGTTCTTTTCGCTAACCACACACCGACCTATGGCAGATATTGTAAAAGAGGAGAAAACCAAAGTTTTGGCTCGAGTTGGAGGAGATCCAAGGAGGTGATGGAGGGATTTCAAAGCCATTTCATGTTGATCTCTCCAACTTGAAAGACGACTAAACGAGCCAGATTTTTGCCTCGTTGGCGTCCTTTTCCCTCTCAATTCGCAATATTTTGCCATTTTCCATACTGCTGCCGCTCATGCATCTCTCATATTCTTCTTATAATCGCACTTTTCTCACTTCCACTCACATGTACGATATCAATAGTATGTAGTATGTATGCAATGTCTTTTGAATAAATAATTCGCTCGTCTCTTTCTTCTGATACGCGCCCGTCTCCGTATCTTTTCTCAAACTTCCTCTGTTGTACATTTTCTCAGAGTCAGGTAATATATTTGTAAGAAAACCCGTTGCCGACTATTCTCACACCCAGGCCCACCATCCAGTCTATCTCCCTCCCGTCTTCTGACTTAACCATCCTCTAAATCGGTCGCTTCCTCCAACTAACGGTCTCCCACTGCCAGATGCCAAGTCCACTCATTTCACATTCTGTAAACATACTTTCCTCTCTTTTCTACTACATACTGAACTCCTTCTCCATTCCACATGTCTCTTTCTCCCCTCTCTGATTTACATACACCTTTGTCCTCTCACGTTCTTTTATATTACACCGACCGACCCATTCCTCTCTGGTTATACGACAGGTTATCTACTGCTCCATTAAGGGCGTAGTAAATATTTCAGAGGAAGCACTAGGATTTTATAACGTTGACCCAAAACCTGTCCAGTCTGTCATGTGGACTCAATTAATGTGAAACCGTTTAAAGATTCAAAGTTTTGGAGTTTTGAAATGCACACATTTAATACGCGTTATCAGTCGTCGTATCCCTACATGATAGCATTTAAGGGTTGCTGAATAATACCAAACGGGTGGCATGAGCAGCAGGAGAAACAAAACACTCAATGATGCACAATGTCCGTGAGTATGTTGATTCTGAACCATTTCATTATTTCTGCTTTCACTGTTCAAGTGAATGCCGACGAGAGTTGAAAGGACTTGGCTTAGAAAATGAAATAAGTCAAGTGTTTGGGAAATGTTTTGCGGTGGGAGGGGGACATTTTGGAAAGATCAGACAAAGGTAAATGAGGATCCGAGGGAAGTTGTGGTCAAAAGCTGCAAAGTCGAGTCTTTGAACATCACCCACAACTACATAATGGGGCCAAGTCGTCCTGTGTTTCTTAAACCCATCCATTCACCAGGTTCTCCTATCTCTCCACTCGTTTTGAGATAATAAGGAGACCAAGTAATGAAAATTTTATGTAGGCAGATATAACTATTCATGAAAGGTAAAAGTGCTTCTTTCATAGGAATTTGGGAAGAAAGCCACCAATATTGTGCGTATGCCTATAAATACTGCAGTGCTCTCCGTGTGCACTATCGGGGATATTTATTTACGATACGTTGACTTGATATCGGTACCCGGTTCCGAGTTGTGTAAATCAAGGGAGGATTTTCAGTGTTTTACTTGGCTTTCGCTGCTAATTTGTTGGCGTTGGCAAAGGTAGAGAGAGAGGACATCAATGAATGAGGAGATTGTGGGTGATGGTAGCGGTGTGGCCCTCCATCAAGTATATTTATTACAGCGTAATCCCTGATTATTCGTAAGCCTTCCTACTTAAAATTCATCTAGTCAACTAGCGAGCACATCGACTTTCCAGGAATGAATTTCTCCTCGTTCTTCCCGTAGAAATAGGAGAGGTGGCAGTGACTCAACCTTTTTCTCCCTTCCATTTGCATTCAAGGATTTCGAATTCTGAGTCCGAGCCAATTCTCTCAAATCCAACGACACAGTCACATGTAAAATTCAAGAAGTTAGCTTACGTTAATTTCGCATAAGTAATCATCCTCTGCATTATAATGCCATATAGTTGAAACGCAACATGGAACAGAAGCACCTTTTTTGGGGGATTTTACGACCGAAAAATAACTATCCCACTCGCCGCCCGACCTTTCCACACTCACATTTGTATTTACAGCTCAGAATTGAGGGCAAAATACAACCATTATGGGTGCTTCCAACGTATAAAATCTGCTATGTGGAATATGGATGGTTTGTGGAAGTGAATCTTTGGCTGCTTCACTTTCTCTCGCTCTCTGCGGTCTTTCCTTCTTTTTCTCCAGCTCCTATGTGGGCTGGGCATACCCAACGACGCCTCTATTTGGCAGCCCCTGCCGCAGTACAATCTTTGCCAAATTATTAAACGAGTGAATGAGCTCGTTTTATGGCACAAAAAATGCTGTCGTTAACAAAAATTGCTTTATAATAATGATCAGTAGGGAATGATTTACATTCGTTTCTACACCCCTGATTTCTCATAATCATCTTACATTTATCGGTTTGTCTTGTCAAATAAAATTTAGCCAACAATAAAATGTAGCATGAATTGTGGACTAAATAAATATTTTTTTGGCGTGGCAAAAGATTGACGATTTCAATATGTAGATAAATATCCCTCGTTGTTTATGTCTATTCATTGCTGGATTTTAAGAAGGTCAACACGGTTTATCCTGGATTCACCAACATCACCAAACTCATTAAGGAAGCGGCGCTGAAAATTTTATTAAGCAGAATGAGATGGAAATTAAAAAACATTGCCGTCAGATTTCCCATCTGCTCCTTTCAGGGTTGTAATTTGACCCCAGATTAGCGTTTGCCATGGCCCAAATTCCATCGCTCTTGGTGTCCATATGCACTTTTCCCTCGTCCCTCGTCCTCTACCTCTCTCGGAATGGATCCCAAGGCAGTTGCTGGAGTAGCCTGGCTCACTAGTTCAACTTTCCTGCTATCTGCTACCTTTTAACGGGTAGTTATTTTTTCAACATCATCAACTCAATTTCTCCGTTATTACTAATTCAGGAGAGTTTGCTCATCTTTACTTGAAATGGACCGTATTCAACTTACAAACGTCTTGTTTGGGACATGATGTTTCAGTCAAAATTTTCTGGGGAAATAGGATAATAATTAAAGGGTCATATTAGTCAACACCAAATGCACCTCACATACGTACATTAAAGTTTCCTACAATTGTGTGTATAATAGTACTCTGATAGAAAATAAAAGTTTTACAGATTGTACATGCTTCAGCCAGGACATCGTTCTGATTATATTTACGGCACAGGAGATAAACTTGAACGGCAACTTGTTCATTCTGTACGAGGCAAAGAACGAAACCCAGTTTCTTATAACCATTTGGCCGTGGAGTTGCAAGTTTTTGCTAAAAGCCCGTTCTGCTCTTCTACCGAGGAGTTCCTCCCGTTGGTTAAAGTGCACGAACCAGTACAGATTTGATTTATGACAGCCGGGTGACATAAGATATTCAAGCTTAGTGTATACTTCATAAGGAGAGAAAGAAAAGGCGTCTCAATCTATAAACTTCAAACTCTCGGGGTTCTGGATCAGTGGGTAACGATATCGAATCTGACCGTTGAGCTACTCGCTGGTTGCGTTGGGTGGCTGGAGAAAGCGAGGATCTAGATTTAGACAAAATCGAAATGGAAACCAATTCATCAATCATTTCTCCATTATTTTTCTTTGTACAATCAGTAAAAATGCGTTAGACTGAGACGATCAAAGACAGATTTGACGTTTGTTTTTATCCTTTTGTATCCATTTATTTAAAGATTGACGGAACTCTGCTTCCGGTTCATTTACTAAGTATTTAAGTCAGAAAAAATCATGTACATACCCTCAACAAAACTGAAGGATACAAATATGAAATTGATGAATTGTCATTGGGTTGTGCACTTTTGGGATTTCGTACAAACTATTCCTTTCTGATTTTGAAATGAATACAAATACAAGCGACACCACTTGTGTCACCACTTGATCAGATACAGAAACTTGTACTCTTTTGCCACTCCCCTTGAGCTAAGTATAAGTGGGTACAGATAATATTTATACAATTGCATGCAAACGACGAGGCAATCGTTGTTTTTAAGCAAACATTATTTAGTGGCTTAAAGTATCCTCGCAATTGAAGAAAACTGTTGGCAAAGTTAATTTACCACAATAATGTTGTACAAGTGGGCAGATAATTACGGATTTTTTAAGAGAGTTGGTAAACAGGAAAAGTTGGGGCAAGTTTTTTAGCCGTCGCTCTCGCCTTCTTCGGCTCGTCTCTGCGCTATCTAAATAAGAGTTTGGTGGATGTTGAAGAACTGGGCGAAAAGTAAAAGTGCTTGACTTGTGTGATGTGAGCTGTGGAAATTGATCCTGTGGTGGTGGTGGTGTGTGGTTGAAGAGGGTTTGTTGTTGCTGGAGCTTTGAAATTCTGAGCTGTGCTTCTGCTTTCTCCGACACGAGAGGAAAAGCAGCATCAGACGACGAGCTCTCGAGGGACCAAACTTTCTTCCTCTTCGCATTTCCTTTTAGAAACCCCTTTAATAAATTATTCATCAAACTTGTTCTTTTTGCAGGGATGAAGATGAACTCTCAGCTTTTGGATTATGACTAAAATTCGCGTGCTCGTCCTCAGCGTTCTCCTGTCACCGAGTAAGTTTGTCTCCTCCACGTCTTACATCAAACACACTAACTTTCCTTATCTGTTCCTCATCTATCTCTCCATCTCGATCTGCTGTCACTACTAATCTAAATGTCATGTTTATTCCCCTCTCTTACTCCCGGCTCAGGAAACAACAATTTTGTCTTTGTTCTCATTCTTTTGTGTCTTCCCTTTGGAGAAACTGTCCTCTTCATCTCTGTTCACTTGTTCAATTCATTTACATCCGGCACCTACTCACCCCTCCAACGTTTACACCCACTCGCCCATTACCCACACGTTGAACATATGTATGTATTTACATATGTATGTACATGCTCATTCATAAGTTACTTTGCATGTTAGTTTGTAGCCTAATAATAATAATAATGTACTTAGTTATTGGGCACATTTACATATGTATAAATTTATGAGTAAGTATGATAATTTTCATACTTGAACATTCAAAAGATTTCTCAGAAATACCTAAATTTCCAAAGTTTCTCCGATTTTAATGGGAAGCAAGGTCTTTAGAAAACACTTGGATATTGTAATATGGCGATGAAATAATGGATAAGACAAAGTTTTGGCAATTCTTCATTGCTTTTTCGTTCACATGCAGAGTTTTCTCCTGGGGCAAAGCATTTCTAGGGCCGGCAGTATGATGGCAGCTTTTGAACCCTGTATAGCGGCCTTGGAATAATATATTAAACTTTTTGATATATTATCTACAGCTAATGTTGTGTTTTACACACACGCACACTTTCTCAAGAATGGGAAACTTTAGTTAAGAGCCATATGCTCTTGTCAGATCATTAAAATGGTAAATCGAGATATTGACTTGTCTTGCTGAAACTTTTGATTTGCATTTACCTACTCCCACCAGCCCTGAGTTTGATTGATCTTTATCCTTGAAATTCAATTTCGGGAACTTACCGCAGTGCTGACTGGGTGAGAAGCTCATCAATATTAAAATGTAACAACTTTAGCCATTTATTTATAATGAGTTTGTTTAGGACTGTCATGCATAATTTATAACAATTTATGATGATACCTACCTTTACTAGAAATAATGGGGTAGAAATAAAATGAAAATTTAATGTAATCATTTGAAATTTCAGTGTGCTTTGTGCCAAGTGTGGGGGACAATATCACCTCCTCATTTGGAGAACCAGCCGTTCTGGAGCGTGTCTATGAAGCACACAACGCCAACTTAAGGTACGACTTCATATTTTCTTTTCTCCTTCTTGATGAAATTTCCCCAATTCATCTCCCACAACTGCAAAAGTCGAGTTTTTTTCATGATATTTAGAAGCGCACTTGACCTCAAAACGGCCTTAGGGGGACCCCGAGTTACAATTTTTATTATTAGCACAAGTATATTTAAGTACGTTTCGTGTAGCCTGTGTGGGCGAATGTGTGTACGTACCAATGGAACGTCTCAAGTGCTCGACGACTTGGCACTGTACAGCTCATCAACTTTCTGACAGAGATTTACCTTGAGCCATCTCCAGGTTCACATTTTTCTACTTACTTTCTTCAAACTGCACAATTTCGCGTAAGCCTGAGATATTGTCTTACTCGAAAAAGTAAATAAGGTTAGAAGAAAATATTTGTAACATCTGTTTTGCTGAGCGAGATGAGCGTTTCACTCAGATCACGACGAGGACGACGCGGACGGTGAAAGTAGTGCCATACTACACCAGCGAGCATCTCATCCCAATAGTTACTCGCAGTGAGTTCACATAAAGCAGACTATAAAAAGAAGAAAGTTCCATTACAGCCAAGGATGTAGGTCTTTATGCCATTTATTCCAAAGATCCTGAACTCCAAGCACGCACGAAACAACAAAGATCCTTATTCACCACCACTGCCCATCACAACGGCAGCGACTACTAAACCAAATTGAGAATCGGCTGAAATGAAATGAGGGCTTACTTGTTAGGAGAAAAATATTGTCCGAGATCTAATTTCGTCAAAAATCGAACCAGGCTTATGGCTTTGGCTTGGCTGTTATTCTAAATAGGGCAATAATGATCCCATCCCATCATCATCAGAGTTAAGTAATTACTTTCACTCAGTGAAATCAGAGTATAAGAATTGATCCTTTGTAAATATTCATCTGTTCCCTTGTAAATATTCATCCCTTGCCATATTCATTCCACAATGTGAGTCACAATATGCATAAAAGTAATGGTAGAATAATAATAATTCACACTCTGCGCTATTATCATTGGCGTAACTGAAAGGTGCATATTCAGTAGATGGCCCACGTATGCAAGTATCTTCTTGCTATTCACATCTGCATTTGCATGCTCGGCACTTTTGAAGCGCAAACCACGTAATATGCAAAAAAGGATTGGACTTGGACAACACGAGTCAACACATTGTTGCGGTTCGTCCCACTTTTCATTCCAAATGGAAAAGGGACATTTGGAAGTAAAAGGCACATTTTTCTGCATGAAGCACACCTTTCTCCATTGCCTTCTTAGCATTCACCGTGTGTCATAGCAAATACAATAACACTTTCACGGACAAAGACCAAGACCTGTGGGAATCCATCAACATTTCCAACATCGCACCACATATGTAACAAGACGTGTAGGGGATGGCTCTGCAACACATGTAGAAATACATAATATGGAGATGTGTGGGATGAAACATGAGGAATTCACCACTTGTACGTCAGGTACATACATATATTCCCTAATAATGGAGGGAAATACTGTACATCGGGACTCTGTCTGATGTACTTTTTTGAGTCCATATTCGAAACATAAAGAAAGTAGAACTAAAAAGAAGAAGAGTGAAGAATGTGAAATGTACGTGTGTGGGTTCAATCGTTCCATTTGATGGTGAATCGACGATATTCATATGAGTTGAATAGATTTTTATTCTTTAAACGAGTGCTTTCACTATCGATGTACATTTGCTGTTCACGAGGGTACTTTGCTGAACAAATCAAGCTTAGAGAATATAAATGTCTGCCAACACAAAAGCATTTTTAGCAATATTCATTCATATCCCGTAGACATTTATATAAATATGTTCTCATGTTACGAATAGATCAACAATATGCATATGAAAACTGCGGAAAAGATGAATTAATAATTTTTTGCTCCTGTGATGCAATGATAAACGTCCGGATGTGATCATACAAGTCAAATATTTAGACTTAAAAATTGTTTTGAACTCTTACATAGATAACACTTTGACAGTTAAAAAGTACAAGGATTCTGGTACGACTAAAGTAAAACAGGATAAACACACTCTAAGCATATTTTTCTACTTTGCTCAATCTCATTTCCTGTGTTGCAAGATTGGTGTGATTTGCTCAACAACATCAGCATGAGAGAAAATACCGTGCACTCTGCAAGAAGTGAGTTGAGCTAAAATGTTACCGTTACTGACTGAGTTGGCCGGGAGGGAAAGCAAAGATTGTGACAATAGCCTTCTTTACGGAAATATATTGTTCTTGTCTTATCTGCTGTTTATTTATTTCCAGTTTGAGCCTTTTTCTGAATTATTAAAGCGTATATAACATTTTGGCTCGGAAACAGGGTGAAAGGTTGGTTGAAAAGAAGGAGACATTTTTCTTCCAACCAGGCCCGACTTTCACTTCACACTTTTCTATATCTACCAAATAATGTGTAATGAGTTGTAGCTACTTATTTTCATATATAACTAAACCAACTTGCTTCACACGTATTATCCTTTGCATGCTCCAACGCTATGCCGTTGGAGCATGCATGCACATTTGTTATGCATATTTGTACAAAATATTTCAGAACGGGGAACCATTTTAGCGTATTAATTTTCATTTTAGGTCAGTAGAATTTTCAGAATACAGATAATTAGAAATCTACATCGTCACCTCCTACATACATACGCAATAAGAAAACATAAAATATAAAGAAATAAATACGTGCATACTTCATTAGAAAGTTATGTAGTCTCTAAGACGAGATGAAATAACAATTCCAACTAATGCCCAACCGAACGTACCCAAGGAATGAGCACAAGGAATGCACACAAAGAATTTAATGTCAGAGACCACGAGAAGAAACTTATTGTGGTATCTCTCTCAGAAATAAATGTGGGGAAAATACACCATAAATTAATTAAATAAATCATGATGTTCCAGATGGAGGCCACAAGAGTCGTTTATTATAATTATACTGGCTAATAAACAAGTGCATAAATATTAGTTAGTTTAGTTTCTCCTTGTAATTATAAAATTGAAATTTTTGATGCACTGCAGGCACCGCCACCACCCCAACCACCCGTGGGGTCCCCATTTTGAGGAAAACCCATCCAACGTTACAATACGAGAAGGTCAGAACTCTCATCTTGACTGTAAAGTGGGACTCATCGAGGACAAACTTGTAAGCTTCATTTTGACTTTTAAGACCTTCTTTAGTAAGTAGAGAGCTAACTAAGTAAGTTAACTCATCTCGATATCTCATCGTGGTCGCCCGAGTGTAATCAGCAACCTGAGCGAACGTTGGAAGAATGCAAATCCCTCTCCACCACCCACTTTCTCAGCCCTCAATAACTTGGTGGCAAAGTTGCATCTCATTTTCCACCTTATACGGACATACATTTTCTCCACACCACACGACTCATATCCGCCGCAGACATAAATGCATGTCAGGGACAGAGTGTTGTTGGTCTTTTATAGGATGAGGATGACAATCTGTTTTTGGATCGGGCAGCCCTCGAGATATACTAAAGTTGGTTTCGAGCAGATGAGACCTGCTCTTATTCCTTCATCATCAATGGATTTTCTGATTAAGTGGGTAAAAGTTTCCAATTTGTTGAAAATATTGTCAGTAAATAGTAACCGTGAATAATTTAGACGTTCAAACTTTTCACATGAAGTACAAAAGAGTAATTGAGCACAAGTAAGGAGAGGCTGAAGATGAGCTTGGTATGAATTTAAGAATCTCTTGAGGGTTGTTGGTCAAACTTTCCTTTTCACATCGATATTTCTTCCTCGTCTTCGTGATCAACCTTCCGATTAAACCCTAATGCCCTAAATTTTCCTTGCTTAATGATGCAGCCAACTTTCTTCGCCTTTCATCTATGTATTAGAAGCCAGTGAGGGTGTGGAATCAAATGGATCTCCAAGGATGACCTCGAAGGGAATAAGCACATGAGTCCACTTTAGCAAGAAGATGAGAAGATTTAACCCACCGCTACCACTGCTCTGAGGGATTTACGGCTTCAAAAGAGATCCGTGAAATCAGTTCATTACTTACAGCACGACGATTGGGGAGAAAATTAAGCGATTATGTGTCAAATATGGGAATTATCTGAGGAATGTTCCACTTCTTCCCAGAACCGTCTGCTTCAAAGGATGAAATTAATGGCGATGCACTGCTGCATATGTTCTCAACCTTCAGATGATTTATATTCTTGGCAATTTAAATTTTTTTAACTAGAAGATCACAGGGTTGAAAGAAGCAAATTTATTATTATGGAATTTGAAAAATGGAGCGATGTCGCTCGTGACGGCATTGCTGATAGAAACTCTTTCATCTATGATCCTAACCACTGTAGGCATGCATGCGGGATATATATGCAGACATACATATGCACTGATTTTCCCTTGAACTACTGCATATATTCATACCATACATTCCCACAATGCTCACTGGAAGTGGATGGAAAAAGATTCGTTGAGACAAAAACAGATGCCGATGATTTTGACTAAATCCATTCACATCTGTTGGTTATCTCCTCAATGGATGAAAGCTTTTGAAAAATCCTCACAAGACTGGTGCAATAATTCATCCCACCACTGGATTTCCAAACCACTGGAAAAAAAGGTGGACGAAGAAAGTTGCGGATTTAAGAGAACCTCAAATAGTAGACTGTCCTGAAATTGCTTCCCTGTGCCAAATCCTTCTATGTAGCAAGGCTGCTTAGTATCCAGAGCTGAACAATGTCGCAACGATATGCAAAAGAACCTGCAAGAAGTGAATAGATTATTGATTTGTAATAATGTTGTGATCTGTCTTTTTTTCAGGTATCATGGGTACGTCGTAAATCAGACCATCTGGACTTATTGACTTTAGGTCCAACTAATCACAGCTCTGGTAAGAAAGAATCAAGGCTCAGGTGTGAAGTAAAGAGTTTTAATTTTATTTAATTAAAAGTGATGGGCAAACATGTTTAGAACTTTTTTGTATCTATCTTAAAACTACAAACTTTTGTTATCGATTGTGTAAATAATTACAGATCCTCGATTTTTGTCTGACTTTAAATATCCAAATAACTGGCGACTAGCAGTTCGTAATGCTTCCAAGGTAAGTAAATTGTTTTAAATTTCATCACGTATGATTTTTTTATGGTGGGCGTCTTCGAGAGAGAAGGGACGTCAGAGCACCAAGAAAAATCAATCCAATGTTGATCTACAATCTACTTGTCTTATGAATAGGATATGACGGGAACCTATCTTTGCCAAATCTCCACCCACCCACCAAAATCTCTTGAAGTACAACTCACGGTAGAAGGTTAGTCCGCAACTATGTACTTTCAGTGGATTTCAATGTGCAGCTCCTCAAGTGCCCTCTTCAACTCCTAACTACTTACGTATTGGACATATAATTTGCTAATGGAATGAAACGATCCAGTTATTTAATATCAGGAACTTTTACTGGTTACATGGTTAAATTTCGGGTTGATAACTATTTGAGTTAAAATAAAGTTTGTGGTCAAATATCCTTTTTCCTCAATAAATAAACCACTTTGCTTTCTTCGCCCATTTGTTACGATATCTTAGGTCGGACTTATTTCCGGGTCAATGCTGATCGTTATTTTGTCATTTTCATGAGAAACTGGTCTTTGAGTCAACTTAACGTAAAGCCACCGTCATATAATATATAGCGACTTTTACTTTAGATTCATGAATCATTTATCATTTTCTTTATCATGAAATTACCAAAGCCTTTAAAATATTTTATAACTTATGCTCAAAATGTTCCCTTTCTTCTCTAGCAGATGAGTAGCCTCGCTCTAGTTCTTTTATTGCGCTTCTTATATGTGGAGTTTAAATTGAATGCTGGTGAACGTAATCCTGCCATTATTCATGGCAATTCGCCGCAAGTAGATTGGATACTTTCTGAAAATTAATTTGAACTCTTATTACATAACAATTTTATTTTCTATTTCGTTCCCAGCATTTACTGCATCCGATTTTATACGTACGTACGTACGACACCTTCAACAGGAACCAGTTTCTTCATAAATCAAGTTAAACTGAGCCGCATTGTAGAATAAGGCGCACATACTACTAGTCAAATCCCTCTGAAATTCAAAATCAAGGATATAATTTATTTATGTACCTGCGCGTCCAATTTTTTATGTCCCCCGTGCTCGATTTCGTTTTCTAGCAAGTGGGGTAAACGGTGTAGCCTGAGGAGGTGTCACATGTGGACAAGGACCATTTCAGATTTAATGGAAAAGGCTAATTTGTTTTTGCAGCGCCGGAAGTGTTTATCGTAGTAAACTCGAGAGGAGAAAGGATTCATGACGTCCATTATAAGGTTACAAAAAATTGTTTTTATTCGCATGCACATATGTACATACGTATGACATGGCTTTCCGGGGTCTGCTGTAGAAACTTGAGCAACTCAAGTTTTTTTGTCCATGGTCATCATTTAAATAATTATTTGTAGACCTTAATTCTTGTTTTTTTTATAGGAGGGTTCCACGCTGCAGCTCGTTTGTATAGGTGAGTCTCGAGTAATCTGGGAGAGTGGGCTTTCACCAGTGCTACCAACCAACTTCCTAGGCCACAGTGCAGTGATTGCCTGTCTGCCTCTCCCACTATTCTACCACGCACTTTTATATTATATGAGAAACGACCTATTTCTGCTAAATGGAAATTCCTCCATGAAACTGCTCACACCGACCAGCCGACAGCATGAAATAATTTCATCCGCCCAGATTAAGTGTAGATTGAGGCTTACTCCGTAAAATTATTTTGCTGCAAATTCTTTACCGAATTTTCCTCACTACATACAGTACATATACTTGAATATCTCGTGCATAATACGCCATGACCAGACGGATTAAAGCTAACTCACATACATCAAGTTTCATTTTTTGTTTCGCTAAATCCCTTTGCCGTACGTATGTACCTGCACCATTTCTGAGGTGCTTAGATATCCACGTGGGCAGGAAGGGCGTGCTTATCGGAACTTTTAATTTTAAGGCTGTAAACTTTACTTGAATTTGATTCAACGCCATTCCGTTATTCCTTCCTTCCTTCAATTGTTTGGTCTCCATCCATCCGTCCGTTTGTCCGTTCTCGACATCTCCAATCAGACGTCTGTCACACAACAAGCTCGAGTACAATTCAACTATGCAGGGAATCAGAAAATGTGTACTTAGTTTAGATTAATTTAGAAAGTTGGAAGAATTTCACAGGCCCAGATGTGCCCTTCCTGTTTGTAACAAGTTGATGCATTAGGACACGAAACCATCTGTCTCGAGTTGTTGTTGTGGTTCGTGGATAAGGGTTTAGAACAAAGTAAATGAAAATCAAATCAAAGCATCTCTCTTGTCTTTCCCATCGCAAAGTTTTGCAGTGAGATTTGTCTTGTTCGTGGAGGAAAAAGCTTCCACTGCTGCTCTCGGAGATTGCTAATGTTAATGTGACTAATAACAAGACATCAGTAGGCATTAGAGTATTATTAATGAAATGAATGTTAATGAATTCTCTTCCGTCACACAAGAATCCAATCCAACGAGTTCGAATTCTTGGACGGTCGTTGTTGGATGGAGTGAAGTGGATCGGAGATGGAGTGTTTGGTTCGAGAGGAGGTTGCTTGGCTGGAATTGAAACGGCTGCAAGAAGAAGAGTGGAGCCGTTTGAGTTGAACGATTTGAATGAAGGAATCCACTGAAGCGTTACATAATAATCTTAGGAAGGAGACAGGGTAACCCAACACGAAGGCACGTACATGTGTATGCAGATATAGTACACAAGGAGAAGTGCCTCGTTGGAAATAGTATCGCAACCCTCTTCTCAAAAGTGCTCTCACGCTCTTGCACCCATTTCCTCGACTTTCTCCGTTTCCCATTTCCTCCTCTGCTTTTGTATCTACCACAATGTTGGGGGTGCAAAATCAGGCGCAGAAAGTATGTACGCTGTAGCAGCAATGCATACAACACAAGTAATAATCTACGGCTCAAATGTAATTTTTCAATTTGCATTTGCATTGTCCTGTGAAATAGAATACTTGACTTGACGAACCAGCAGGGGTTAGATGTCCGTTTGTAAATCTATAAGTTTGTATATGCCTATACGTCATTAAATGGACTGCATTACGCTGTGTTGCGAATAAATGTGGTTTAGTTGTATGTAGCTGTTTGGAGATAGCGGAAAGGTAATAATTGCGACGATAAGGGGTTTGTAAGAGGCATCATGGTGGAGAGACTATCATTATACGTACGTAGTGGGTAGCACACTCTGTGTGGGGCACGTTTATTTGTACATGTTGATGGCCAGCGTTTAATTAGTGGTTTCCTCCTCCATCCAGGAAGACTTTCACTCACATAGTTGAAAACGATCCGGGCAGACTGGGAAGTGGGCTGACTTGAATGTTGACTGCTTGTGGCATCCAGAAATGGGAATAGTGGTGCGAGCAAAATAATTACCGATAGTGTCAGCACGGGCAGACTATCCTGTAATTTATAGATAAATCTATTCCAATTTATTTATATGGAGCATTGTGAAGGCTGCTATGTAGAGGATGAAATTAGGCAGTTTAATGAACCATTATGATGTTGAAGAGCAATTTGAAACATGAATTCCTGGTTTACATGGCATACTCTGTCCCGACAGGTTCTGTCCTTAATCGTTGGGTGATTAAGGCCTATTTAAATACTGTGCAATTAAGGGAAGCTCAGCATTAATGATTTAAATTGTTTCGTAATTTCTCAATTTCTGTTGATTATTCTTGTTTGATGACATACTGATTTGATATATCCTTTCGTCGGCCTGCGGTTACGATGACTTATGTGATATTGCATATATATACATATATATTTTTGATTAATGGTAGAAACGTGCACGGTTTGGTTTGTGGTTTTACAGTGAATAATCTAAAGTCCAGATCGGTGAGTTGGTTCCGTAACTCTGATCTGCTGTGAGTTGTAATTATAAATAATATATATATAATATAAAAATAATAATAATATAAATAATCATTAGTAACCACGATGTGAGTCGAGGAGGCGTAAGTATTAAAACCGAAATGAATACTGACCAAGAGTCAGCCAAAAGCGTTCTGAATGTGGTAAGCAGTCAAAATTAATCAGTTAGCATTGTTGTGCTTACGATTGCATCCCTGTTTTTACCTCACCGTTCTATCTTGCTTGCTATCCACGTGTACTTAATAGTTTTTTGCACATTTTAACTAAACTTTTGACAAAATGTTTCTAGGCCAGAATTACTCGGAAGGACATTGGTGAGAATTTCAGTTCATAATATGTATTGGTATAACTTAAAGGCATCCAAGTCTATCTATTTTTATGCCCACCAGGATCATATCTCTGTTCAGGTATTAATTTAATTCATATTAATATTAATATTAATTCATACGTGGCATTCTCTCGGAAGGGATGGTGATGTGTGCGAGTGGGGCGGAGAAGGTGGAACACCTCATCCCTCCCACAAGCACGTATTTATTAGAATTGAATATCTACTAATACTTGTCTATAACATTTAACTTATTATCCTGAAACTCACTTTGATTTTTTCAGCCCCACCGCATAATGCCAGTGTCACCGTCCACATCCTTAATGGTATTTCATTTACATTGAACACTTGAATTCTCAATTTTAATGAAATTCTACGTATACACGTACGTATTCATTTGTACTCGACTCGTCAAATCCACAGCCCAACAACTTGCACTCAACTTATTTAGTTGTTTTTGAAGCGAACATTAAACTCTTGTCAACATGGCTGTTGTTCAAAGTTGAAGTGGTTGCGATTAGAACTTGTGAATCATGTAGAAATCTCGGTTGTGTCATTTAAACTTGTGGCCGCAATAGTTCCGTCAAGTTTTGAACACAGAGACAGAACCACTGCATTGGTGATTTTGACTGTCATGTCCCAATTCTCTGGAGAACCTCAGTGGGGATTAATTCCGTCAACTCTTTAATCCTACTAAGACCTAAATTTATGTAATAACTGCCACAATACCACTAATTTTCTTCCAGATTAAGCCACAAGTGCTGAGTCAGCCGTGTTACTCACTAAATATTAATAGTGATAAGCTTGCTCAGGCTTCCAAAATTATGTTGATATACATATACATATACACACACTCTGCAAATTTCAAGTTGAATTTCATATACATACATACAATCCAGAATGTCCTAAATTTAGTGACCTGGATTTATTTACGTAGACATGCATATTAGTAAATATATATAAAAATATGCGCATATGTATATTTGTACCTATTTACATATACCTACGTACGTAAATATGTACACGTATTCATGACTGAACTTTTCGAGGGCCGACCAACTCTGGAAATTAACCGTTCTGAACGGCAAAAATAAACTGTCAACACATAACTCGGTGATTTTGGCACTCAATTTTACCTGTTTAATTAAAGTGTCTCGTTTGAAGGCAATGGGCTGTGAAAAAGAATCAACAAAAATGATTGATGCGTTTTTGCTTAATAAGAACTGCCGCACCCCGACGACTACGCGACACAAGCCATGAGCCAAGATTTTCCGTGGAGGGTGATGGGATGGAATTCATAATTAGTTGTCCTCGTACTTGAGACATGAAATTAACTTTACTACAAGTTAGGAAATGATGATTCTGGGAGAAAGTTGAAGGATAGAGCAAATAAAAAAGAACAATTCATTTCTGTAGTGTCGACAAGTTTGGCTCCAGGCAAACGACAAAACTTCCGTCATATGGCCCTTGGTACATTATATGCCATTGCTATACATGTGCCTATTACTCTACGCACCCAACATACGTACATACATAGACATTGTCTATACAGAGAAATATTTATATTGCTAATGTTACACATAGCGTGCCCGAGATTCTGAAATAATGTGACATAATAATGGGCTCCTTTGGGCACTTTTCTCCAAACTTTTTTCCTCACTCACATGCAAACAACCTGAAACTCAAACACCGGTACACGACAAAACTATTATTTCTTGAAAGAGATGGATGAATTTTTTAAGCCGTGAGGTGTTATTTTTAAATTATTTTGGCAGCCTTTCAAAAATCCCTGGTGCGGGTTCGTTATTTTATTGGTATGTAAACACAAGATGGATTGAATGAGGCAATGTTTTCAAGTTGGGTTGAGGTTGGTGAAAGTCGTTTGGATAAATTTTTATAACACAAAATAAATATCTCTTTTGCCACATTAAAGTATGTATTTCGCTGTTAAAAAATCATTCCAAATTGTGTTGTGTGTTGGACAAAAAGTCATAAATGTATATAAGGTTCTTCTGTGAGTGGGGATACCGTATGCCCCATCAGCTATCGGCCACCATTAAGCAAATAGGTGGTACTTTCACTTGTCATCAGTACTTCAAATATTTGAGCTAGGTTCGTTGGGGTTGTTGGCAATGTGTTGACTCATGCACTTGCGTAATTTTGCTGAATCATGTATGTATGTACAACCCAAATCGTGGAGTGTGTAAACTGTGTGTAGTAAATCAATGGTAGTGTTGGATTTGGCTTTAATTATGATTGGTGATGGTTGAGCCGGGTTGATATATTTGTATTTTGTAAGTAACCGCATGAAACTAAATGCTCTCATTTAAATCCCCTGACAGGTGAAAACCCAGCCGAGCTGTACCACAACCATGCGATGACATACTTTGTTTGGTCCTGGAAATGCTTTCTACTTATTTTTGTACTGTGGGTCAGCAAATAAAAGTTAAATGAGCTACGGGCCTTCATCCCCAATTTCCCAGTTGGACCATTAAATGTCACTGTTATTATAAAAATGAAGTATCGTGTACGTTGCACTCATTTTTTGTTTAATGCATTGCTTACGTATGTCTTACCGGCATACACGCATACGTGCACATACAAGGTCAGATCAGCATCAAAATAAAATATCACCCTGGAGCATCATACACGTTGTCCCACAATGGGTGTGCAATATGTACTTATACCGTGTCCCGATTTTACAAATCCAAATTCAACTTTCTCCTGTTAAAATTGTATAAACTTGACTTGTACATATCTGTATATCATCAACTACTTATATGAACGGGTGACCACCGTCTCACCAGCACAAAGGAACTAAAGGTGACATGCAATCTGCGCGTTATCCAGAATCACAGGAATTCCTTACATCATTATTACACGGTATTAATATAAAAGGAATTATGATGGAAGTCGTTGCAATGCCCATAAAGCAATTTAGAGTAATGAAGAGACAACGGCTCAAAGATTTCATCTTTGCCCTCAGCCCAACCCATCAAGGGAACTATTACGAAATGAACGGCTTTATTATGGGAAAGGAATGTTTGGCCCGCCGTCTGCGCCCATTCATGGACTTTGGAGGTGGAAAGAAAGGAGGGTGAGTGGGTTCCGTGGTAATTCTAATGCTGGGCATAGTTTGACGAAAAGTAAAGGAAGAAGGGCGAGGACAGCTGAAACCATCATATTTGGGCTGAAGTGAGCCACAAGGAAAGGAATTTGAATTTCTTTCCTTGTGGCTCACTTTAACAGAATTCCAAGCAAAATCAAGCGATCCCGTTCCCATCTCTCTCTCTTCCACCCACATCAACCCTTTACTTTCCCCGCAACACACGCACGAGAGAAAATAAAGGAGAAAATTTATGTGATCAGCAGCACCAACCAGCAGTCTAGCAGTGAATGTAGGTAGTAGTAGTGCTTATAGATTGTACTTTGCAGGGAGACCATCATCGCCGTCAAGAGTAATCCGAATTTATTTTATCGTTGACTGTCCAAGTTGAACCAGAAAACCTAATCATAATGATTCTCTTCACTCCTGTCAACTATTTCATAACATGCAATTACATAAATCTTTTAGTGTATCAAACTTGTTTAAAATCAATTGACAAGATCCCTTCAATAAAATCGAAACGAATAAAAAATTCAAACCACAATTCTCCTAATTTTAAAATAGTTTACAGTTTGTTTACAATTATTAAACAATTGTAAAATACACAACAGCAAAAATATAATATGCAGAACAATTTATAATTTCTGAGCTGACAACCATCTGGAAATACCCAGTGGGTTCATTTGTTCTGTCAACGGCGTTGAACGAGTAAAGGGTACAATTATGAGCATACAGAGCTGTCAACCAACGTTTCCTGCATCAGTTTTCATATTCCGAACAAAGTTTTACTTTAATATATTTCAAAGATAAACAAAACCCGACGATTTACGGAGAGAAACTCAATTCTTGCCTCTCCAATAACCAGCCATTCTCTCACCAAATATTTGTCATACCCTAATAATAATCCGCGTTGGTAGTTTTGCAGTTTCGCCAACATAAATAAAATGACAGACTAACTAAACTCGAGTTCTATTGGATTTTCATTCAGTGGTGCTTTACCATCCAACGAGCCATGGTGCAAGCGTTACTTTCTCTCCAAAGTGAGTCAGGGCCCATTTATTACTGAAATAAATGACTCAAAGTTTCAATAAACTTGATTTCAATAGAATGCTGGTCACATCATGTACAATGTTCCGATTACTTTCGCCTCCTGATTACACCACACACATTACACTTTAGTATTCCGCTTGGCTGAACAACGCAACGTACATTATTGCGCAACAATGTCCGTTAATACCAACCGCTATGGAGTAATGGTCCATAATAAATCCTGCATAATAATATCTAATAATAATATTATATGGTGGCATAATTCTTATACGTGTGGATTACGTTGATCATTATCGCAGTCTTGCATTAATAACTCAAAAACCACATTCAATCCACTAATTCAAACGTTATTATCACGGGTTAAACTCGCAACGTGAATATTCTTAAATACATACATATGTTTCTCATTTGTTAATTTGCAGGAGCTCAGTTAACACAGATATTAAATAACTCTCCACTTTTGCCGCTCTCGTAACAAACGCTCTCGTAATATTCCTAATGCAAAAATTGGTTACTTTTATTTAGCATATCGCATCTCATCACCCGAGGTTTCGCGTTTTTCGTTAGTCAACATGAGTTTGATTGAGCATCTCCTTCCAAGTACTAACTTATGTGTGCACCTGGAGTGGTGAAAGTTACGGCATCAATCAGCCCTCCTTCCAATGTCTAACTTTAGCAACTTACGCAATTGTTGGGATACAGTTGTATACGGTATGGTGTTAAATTGCATTACTGGCTGATGGTTTCCCATGTACCTTGGCGTTGATACTAGCCGCTGAAAAATCTAGCCTCACTTTCTTGCAACGTGGTCATTGGACTCAATCGAAAGAAGAGCTATAACCATCCGCCATGGTCCGTAAAACTTTGGTTGGAAACAAAGCAAACCAAATTATTATCTCCGACCTATCAAGTCAACTCATCGTAGAATGGACTACAACACGCAACGTAAACTCTCGAAATAATAGAACATGCCGATATGTGATACTAAAAAAGGTTAGAACAAGACAAACTTGTTTGACAAACTAAAAAGATGACAAATATTGAGACGTTTGTTTCAAAGAAAAATACAACCGTTCTAGTCCTCGATTTATTTGTTATTGATGTCAACAATTGTATTTCCTCAACACTTTTGCCACATTGCATTACCGCAGCAAAACGTCTCGTACATCGACCGTGTTATTGATTACGTTTCTCTTTCAGTTTCATCCTAGACTGTGATTTGATTTGTTGGATCTTGTCAAATAGAAATGTAACATGACTGCATGGGTCCCATTCTATATACTCCGTCACACATGGTCGTAAAGAGAAGAACGGAAATAATGTTGATGGAAAAACAGAGTTTTAGTAATAAAAGCCATGGTATGAAGAGGCAGGCCGCTACATATTGCATCACAGCAAAGCAACTCAGTGAACTCACCTCACTCTTTTCAGCACCTGATACGTGTGAACTTCTTTCTACACTTTCTTCCAATGAGTAGGAAGAGAAAGCGTGGGATTCAACTGCGTAGGAATTGATCCAAAAACCACTTTAATCATTCAATCAAAAACGGACATTGTTTTATCCTCGTCATTCGCTTCTCTTTCACTTCGTCGTCACAGCCTGCATGGGCAGTTCTATAACTGATTTTGATCCATTGTTTGCCACGCTTTGCGGACTCGGTGAATCGGAAAATAGGCGAAGGAAATGTAAAGACAGGACAAGGAAAGTCAATCAGTGTGTAGTGCTCTGCTTTCTGCATTCATTTCTGATGATCCAATGCAATTCTGCGATAAAATTACTGCTGCACTTTAAACTAAAAGCTTTCCCATTGCAAATGGAATCAAACTTCTATGAGTTCTAATGTTCAGTCGTGTATGCATCACGGTTGAAATATCATTCGAACGCCGACAACGCTGCAACATACATATTTATATGACTCATATGTATAAAGTAGGTCACCAAACTGGATCGGAAGACAAGTTCAACCGCTAACCGTCATTTTTTTCAGAAATATTATTGTGCACTATTCACACAAGATTTTACCATAAAATCTATCCTCGCATCAGTAAGGGCAATAGTGCAATTCGAACACAATCATCTTTCTGTACGGCATATAATTTCTATGTAAAATGTATTTTCATTTTATAAATCAACTTATTTTACTGCTGCCTTTATTCAATGACAACACGACGAGCAAGGATACTTTGAACTCTACCTGGTGGGATGAAGGGGAGGAGAATTTAACTGCATTATGGGACTGGGACATGCAGATGAAAGAAGATTTACATATTTTACCAGGAAACCCTGACATCCGCAGCGAATTCCCAGTTTGCTGTGATTTGAACTCTGGAGTTAAAACGTTCCAGTGTGACAGCAAAATTGTCAAGCGGAATAATGTGATTTCAATTTTATCTCAAACCCTAACTCAAAACTCGCAACCTGGTGCTAATTCAACTCGGGAACGGTACTTGTATTTATAAAAATAAATAAATCATAGTTATATAAATATGGCTATATGCATATGAACGTATTTATGTATATGCAATCATGTCTGTGGCATGAATAATTTTGCAACCGTATCCCCAATATAGATTTTACTGGAATGTGCCTGAATGTCCTAGCAGTCGAAATAAATTCGTCATACTTGATGTAAAATCAATTGAAAATCAAAATCGTACTCGATTTCTGAGAAATGGATATTTCGGCTACAACAACGAATTCTACAGTCCCCAAGAGTATTGTATAAATGGGTGTGTTTAATAGTCAACATTATACGAGAGGGAAACACAAATATATTTATGGCTTTTTAAAACCTTCTGTTGACAGGCTAACAGGTGAATTTGTTGAAGTTAAGATTTGTGAACCGGAATGCTCGAAAGAAAGACCATGCATAAATCTGTGTTGTGACCCAGATGAGATTTACAGCTTCAAGAAAAGAAAATGTCTTAAATCAAATTCTACCCTGTATTCCCCCATATTTTATCATGACATGTCCAACAAAGTGGGTGAACAAGAGGGGACAAGTCTTCCTCGTCCCCATTTCACCATCAAGTTTCCTCGAACCTTCAAGTACTATTGTCAAGAGAATATCACGCAAATATTCCCATCCGGAAATCTTTTTGCTGACTATTTGTCCAACTCTACAGGGCGAAAATATTTTCCTGCAGAGTACGTGCCACACAATTTCAATCGCAATAAGTAATATTAATTGCGAGGCTCCATTTCTAAATTTCAATTTCGTCGTGTTATCATATCATTAATTTTAATCACACCGACCACGCAGCTTCCACATCCGAAAAGACGGGGTCGTTATGTACAGGAAAGATGGAAAAGCAATCCTTCTCTCTGACGGACATCCAATATTTCTTAAGGAAAATAACAGGAAGTGCTACACTCTCAAAACGGAGCATTATTGCATCGATGGGGCGGTCGACTTTGGATCCCCACTGGATTTCTCCAATGAGGAGGGGCAAACATTCCTCGTTACTTGCTCTGAGCACCTATACCAGCCACCGGTAGTTCTAAATATTTATACAGGATTAATTGAATCTTTTATTAGTTAAATAGCCATTGAACATTAATTAGAGAAGTAATTTTTATTAATTAGATAATCGGTCCACTATCATTTTTATATGGGAACGTAATGATTGGGTCCTCATTCTTCTCATTTTTGACCGTTCTGGTCTATCTGACGTTGAAGGAGAAAAGAAATATTCACGGTCTGACCGTCGTGTCCTACGCCAGCTCCATGTTCTTCATGTACATCTTTCTGGGGTTGGCGCATTTGATTCGATATTATGGTTCGGATGAAGTTCTAAAGTCCACTCCTTGTGTCGCAATTGGTAATACATTTGCATCTATGTACTTCAATATATCCTGAGAATAATGCGAGATTCTGAGACATTTTGTAAATCAACTTAATTTTACTGATAGGCATTGCATCTCACCTATTCTCGCTCTCCTCATTTTTGTGGCTTACAATGATGAACGTAGGACATTGGTGGACATTTAGGTATGTAGATTAACTGCGGAAATAGGGTCCATTCAATGCTTAATTGATAAATGTTTGGGCAAATACAGAAAAATCAGGCCAATCGTGAGGCTGGACTACCAATTACAACAAACTAAACTTTGGAATCAGTACCTCAAATATTCGATTTTTGGTTGGGGAATTCCTATCCTGAGTGTAGCTGTGTCGACTGTGATTCATTTTAACTACGAGTAAGTGTCCTATGAAAGGCTAATTGCCCATCAAACAGTGATAAAACAAGCTGAAATGATACAATGACCACAGAACGCCAGTGGAGGATGACTGCGCTGATATAGCTCTTCCGTTACCAGCCTACGGCCGAGAGAGCTGTGAGATCAAACAATTATCTTTAGGCGTTTATCTTTATTTCCCAGCCTCGGCTTTGCTTCTGTGCAATTTGATATTTTTTGTGGTGACAACCTACTCCTTGTGCAAGCACGAGACGACGACTCTCGTGGCCGTTAAGCGGATACAAGAACGGCAACACCAATCGTACGGCCGTTTAACAGCTACTTTTAAAAATATACGCTAAATGTGAGAACTAACGAAACACATTAATCTGTAACAAAGAATTTTCCGTTTGTGTAGAATCCAGTTGTTTGGAAAGTTGTTTTTTACAATGGGCGTTACCAGAATCTTCGAGTTGATTACGTGGTACGAAAGTGGCCCTCTTCTGACGTGGTACTGGGCTGTCTTTGATATTTTCAATATTCTTCAAGCTGTCGCCATTTTCATTATTTATGTCTGCAAGAGAGATGTTGTTCGTGCGTTGAAAAATAAAATGCCCAAATTTATACATCGTCCCAAAGGTGAGTTTCCAATTAAATTTCGAAATTCATTCGAAGGTTCATTCAACCTAATACGAGTATCATATAATTTCCTACGATTTCAGATAGTTTCCGCTTCAAAAATGAAAACACTGGGTATGAAGACACATTTTCTAAACATTGACCCCAAAGTTGTACAAGACAACTGCAAGTTATATGTTGTTCTGAATTGTACGTAAAAGGAAACTGTAAATTGAACCCTATTAAAATCCACAACTGTAAAATGCTACTGTGCTAAATGGCAAAAAATAAAAAAATAAAAAAGGTCAACCAATTGAGTCCAATAAAGTTAAGTAAAAGGGAAATCTTGTTAGAAGGAGGGAGAAATGAACAAGTCTTATTAGGACGAAATAAGTAAGACCAGAAGGACGGACACCGCAACTCCTACTCGTATGTTTAGTAGACTGTCACAAGGACTCTCCGCACTCGTTTTTTCCTGACTCCCTCGCCCAACTAGAAGAGAAAGCATACCCCTGCAAAAAAATGGAATAAAAAACTGGGCTGCACATTCAGGGTAGTTGTCCATACATACATTCGTAGGACCTACTCGAAAGCGGTAGTGGTGGGATCTGTATGGGCAAATAAGGGAAAGGAAGACACAGGAGGTCGAGTTGGCTGGTGGCAAGAAGATCAGGAAATGAAAATGGAACTGAATTCAGTTCCACTTTCCTCACGATCAGTCCATCCAGCAGGCAGTTAGGAGCCTATTTCTTTGGTTTCAAGGAGGACTCCTTAATTCCATATCGTTAAAAGAAGCTTAGGTCTCTGACTGGGCTAAAATAGATGACACGGCTTGGCAACACAAACGGACACATGAGAAGCCCTCCACCGCCGCCACTCTCTCGTTCGGACAATAGTGTTATTGGCAGAGAAGCAACCTCCTCATGGATTGTAGCCTTCCTCTTTAGTTACACAACCAATCCTGTCTCCATTACGGCGACGGAGATCCCCACTTCCAACGGCTGTTATGAGAGAAAGCGGAGAAAATCTCCTGTTTACCAACACCCTGGCTACTTTAATACTGCATTGTTTCATCTTCTTCCATCCCATGTGCACTACATAATATGCAGCAGAATGAAGTGGTTGTGGCTGCTGCTTAGAGAGCCAGAGAGGAAGAGGAGGAGGAGGAGGGTAAAGTGGAGCTGTCAGTGTAATTTCGTCCCGTGTGACTGTTGACTCTGTGACATGGAGCACTTTCTCCTCCAATCTGCCCGTTATTAGTGGTGCTCCGGATTTGGAGCAGAATGCAAAAGGAAGGAGAAAGTAAAGCAGAGTTGACCCATGTTCTTCTTTTTGTTCCATCGACAGGCAGCCACGACTGTTTAGCTTAGCATCCTGGTCGGGGTTCATGATAGTTATTGTGCTCCTTCCTTATTTGCGCGAGTCTCAATCTCCCCAACTTCACTTTTCCGTTCGTAATCAATGCCTCACAATGTCACGAGAAAGAGGAGAGGATTTCCGGAAAGCTTTATTATGTTCTCTGCAATACGGATGTATACACATGCAGAGTTGGACGATAAAATGCGTGGAATACAAATGAACTGGGTTACGTAATCTAATTATTATCAATCTAGGCATATTGTACTATATACAGATAGGCAAGCAAAGCACTACTTGAGACACGAAGGGGCTAGTTGAAATGCAATGATATGTACTGGAATGTCTAATTACTTTTTTGCACACTTATTTAGTTCCTTGATTGAAAATTGAAACTTTTTCGTCATATTTATTAGAATTTTTAGGTTTGTTTTCAAAGTTCCTAAAATACGAATCTCTTCATGAACCGTATTCTAGTGACTACGACCAACAGACCAGCCTGCATGCACTTAACTCTAAAACCTCAAAACATATACCAAAACATTGCTGGAGTTTTCTAGTGGAAAATCTCATTAATTATAATAAAAAGTAAACACCTCCCAAGAGTCTAAGCATACGTAGTGGTCGAGTTTGCCCACACCCAAAAGTTGAAAAATCTGCTTCTGGTTCTTTAATTTATTTTTGGTAGCCTGGTTTTTGGATTTATTTACAACTAAAATATATCCCATGCTTATTGCAGATTACGGGTGTGACAAAGCCGTTCCTGCAAAATATTGATAATTACACATTATGTACGTACGTGTTGCATTGTACATTAGTACACTTTAACCTTGTTGAGGAAAATGATCGCATTAAAGAAGTGATAAGGGGCTCAGGCTGCTCAGTCCGATCTGCTCTGGCCGCCGACTCGTCGTCATAATTTAGCATTGCCATCATTTCCTTCAGTTGAAGCTTTTAGGCCCCTCTAATCAGATTTCAGTCATCAAGTGCAAAACCCTTTCAAGTCCTTTTGCTCCTTTCTTTGATTTTGAGTTCACTATATATTCACCCACTTTCTTCGCGAAATTCTTATATATTTACCAACCGTTCCCAGCCGAATCCCCTGGCATCGTCCTTAAATACACAAAAGTTACAAAATCATATTTGACTCGTTAAGATGTTTTTAGTTGTCAAATCAAAAGTCATTTCACTCAAAAGAACTTGATTCATTTATGTGCACACTGTTTTTACTAAAGAAAATTATTAGCTAACACTGCAAGGTCCAGTATCAGACAAAATTGTGAAGCATGACACCTAACATGACAAGCAGCTTTGTTCTTAGTTGTTAGTAATGATGTGAATGGAACAGTATAATTTGGAGAGTAAGTAGCAAGTACATATCTCACGAACACGGTCAAAGGGATGCAAAAGAACTCCAAATTTAAGAAGATAGACTGCATGTGGTTTAATAAAAAATGAAAAAGTACAAAAAATCTATAAGGATTCCTGTTGTAGTAGTCGTGGAGTTGAGGATGCACACGCAACTCATAAAAATATTAGGGATGAATGCAAACCGCAAACGCCGCGGTGGAGATTATTATTCGTCCATATTCTGTTCAACTCTTTGAAATTCTTTGATGCCGGAATGGAGTTTGATGAACCACGCGATTTCCGAATTGGCACCGATTACTAATTCCATTGAAATGCATTTCGTTTTCAATTAATGACCCAAACCACCAAGCAGAGCCTATTTCCCTGCACTTTGGCACTTTCCCAACTGGATACTCTTTTATTGGCTTTCTCCTCGATATTAACACGATGGACGCGATGACACGTTCCGTCTCGCCAGAATATTGAACTAGTTCCCCTTATTTATCGTCTCCCTAGTTAGAGCTAGACTTCATTTGCATTGTAATAAAATTCATTGAATTCCATCGCCTCCTCCTCTCCGTGATACCATCATTACCATTCGGCCATCTGGCAGAGCAATGAAGGCATGCTTTCTCAGAAATGTTTTGAATCAGTGCCCATCCGCTATGTCCAGTCCATCGCACAATATGCCTCCAAGAAGGCCAATTTTATAAACTTAGTTCTCCTGTCCCCACGATTTTGAAGTAAAATATTATTTTGGCTTTCATCTCAGAGACAGGATTTAAATAATCCAGAGTCTAAAATATATGCTTGATCAATCTTGAGTTGGCAAATTTCTAAACAATGAGGTTAAACTCATACTGAAAGCGGACTAGTCACTTAAAACTCCAATGCCAGTCAATTTCTACAACTAATTTAGTCAATTATTGGTTTAGCCATTCTGCTGGCTGATCGACACACGGATAACGATCGTTTGTTTCCAAGCATGGTTTAATTCCAGAATCGTCATGTACTTTATTGAGCTTATAGTTAGTAAGTTAAAGAAAAATTGGAGTGTCATAACTTTCTGTTTTTGACGTACTGTGCAATGTGAAAAGAAATTCATATTTCGACATAAACTGAAGCATTTGCTATTTTTTCAAACTTACTCCTGAGCTGCTGTTCACCGAGATCAAATAAACAAGATTTCAAGTTGAGGAGAACCACTCATTTTTTCAATTGAATCATAACGCTTGCATAAATAGCACAATACACGACCTCTTCTCTCAAAAACTCTTGAACTTCTCTAAACAAATAGAAATTCAACTTTAAATAAAACTTTTTTAATTATAATAAACTTTTTTATTTTCTTGTTAACTTTCTCAAGCAGAAGTGGACATAGCCTCCTTTACAATAATCTAGTTGTCTGCATCAGCAGAGCCACCTTCTTTTACGTAAAGCTTGAAACTTCATATGCAATATTGTTTTACAAAAAGACCAAACACTAGAAAAATAATCTTTTAAAGAGTATAATCTGTAAACAATTTATTAGAGCAAGACTATTTATTTTATACTTTTTTGCATTCATCCTTGTTTGCATTTTCTTTGGATGCTGGCACACTGTTTATGATCTTGCTGATATTATCATTTACCAAGAAAGTTTCAAGAAACTGTAATTTGCTTGCCACACGCTGTATTAACTTTTGATGTCTTGTGTTGTATAAAATATTGAAATAAATCTTCGTCTGATGTCCTTTGGAGTGTTTCTAAGCCCTCGTAGAACATGCCATAAAACATAAACGCACTTTCACATTATAGTGATTGCCTAAAATCTGCTGGCTGGCATTGCTTTGAACCCGCACGAGTGGAAAACAGGAAGTAAGGTTTTTAACCAAAACCTGATCCGCGTGTGGTTGTTTGCTCGTTGTGCACACATACATCACGACATGATGCTTCATTCATTTGGACCAAAAAGGCAACCGCCACCACATCTGCGGGCTTCCTACATACTTTCTCCGCACAAACATAAATCTTGTGCCCAGATAAACGGCGGAGAGAGAACAAGCCATGCTATATGAGCACCATTACACAACCCTCATAAACGTCTGGCTGGATAAATGTGTCCGTCAGTCGTGGTGGGGACTCCGGAACGACTGACTGAGCGACAACAGACGTTTGGAAGTGTTTGAAAACATAGGTTGAGTTGAATCACTTGATGACCAGCCAAAGGGAGCAAATTATTTGCAATCCCTCATTATTACAATCACAATGAAGGAAATCATATTTTATGCCCAGTATAATTGTTTCATTTTCTAAATTTAAATAAGGCATAAATCAGAACAAATGATTCCGATGTTCCAGCTTGGACAGCTCTTTACTTAAAAAAGGCATTTGTAAAATGAAGCTTTAACATGCAGCGTCAAACTATAATTAACCTTATAAAAACTAATTAATTTTGACCTGGATACCATTTAAAAACGGAATTAAAAATGGTTTCTATTGCATTTGGGGGTGGATTTACTGGGGGGCAGAATACCATTGAGACCGACTTGTGGGGCGGTGATAAAATCAGTTGGGGACTGAATTAATGCAAACCGATTTTGAATATTCTACTGATGCAGTTA